ATCCACTCACCTCAGCCTCCCAAAGGCACGGGATTACAGGCTGAGCCACCGAACCCGGCACTACTTGACTCTTTTAAACAGTCCCTCCCTTGTCTGTGTGTTATATTCCACACTGCTCTGTGGATGCCTGAGACCGTGGATAGTACCAAACCCTATGCATGCTGTTTAATCCTATGGGAACATTCCTTGACAAAGTTTATGAATTAGGTGTAGTAAGAGATTAATGACAATAACTAGTGATGAAACAGAATAATTATAAAGGTGATTAGAGATTATTAAAAACTCATGAATTACTTATTTTGGAAATTTCCATTTACTGTTTTTGGACCATGATTAACCACAAGTAGCTGAAGCCTTGGCAAGTGAGCCTAAGAGTGGGGCTGCTGTGTTATTACACTTGTCTAATGACATTGCCTCACCTCCCCACCGACCCTGGCTCTGCAGGAGAGAAACTGACCTGTTTCCAGAGCACTCTCAGAGTTTCACTCTGAGCATCGTAAGCTGAAGAGGCCATATTTTGAAGGCATTCTGTCTGGTTCTTCTCAGAAGAAGATGTTGGTACTTTGTTATTTTTCAATGTCACTGGGCAGGAAGGGGACCAAGGACTTGAGTGGAGCCAGGAGAGCGTCCAGAGTATAGCAAGTGGAGGTTCCGCAATATTTAGCCTCATGACGCCCACTGGGGTGTGCAGCCACACGACCTCGAGAACCAGTGTCTACCTGTCGCAGATGTCCCCAGCTACTGTCTCACAGGGTGTCAGAGTGGATATCAATAGGTGTTCTAATCAGTGGAATAAATTATTTTCTGTTGGGAACCAGTTATGCATTTCCTCTTTAATTATTGAAAATACTGGCGGAAAGTTAGAGGTGCATGTCTCCATCTTCTGTTAGCTGCATTCATTCTTCCATGTGGGTCACCTCAGAGTGTCTGTGAGGCGTGATGCCAGGGGACATGCGGTGGGAGGCACGCACGTGAGCCCATGCCTCATCTGCTCTCCTGGTTCTGTGTGGGCTGCAAGCCACTGAGCACTGTCTCAAGGGACAGAGGGTAGTGCTCTGGGCTCTGGAAAGAGCATACCTCAGAGCTGCAGAGGGCAGGATCCCTCTAGGAAAGGTGCATGTGATCTTCGAAAGGTGCCTTGAGTGAATTTCATAGAGGAAGTGTGGGGACAAGGATGGTGTCAGCAAAAAGATGTAGACTAGAAAATACAACACCCACCCAGAATGCTGAGTGGGACTGGGGACCAGGAAGCAGAGAACAGTGATGGTGGCGGGAGGGACAGCTGAGGCCAGAAACAGGAGGCAAGTCCTAGTCAGGAAAGGAGAGGAAAGACTTATGTGCAGACTGGTCGCCTTTTAGAGTGTTTAAGCTTCCAGACAGATTCTCTGTAGTAATAACATAAATAACGTTTGTCTCTGTGCTCTTTATTCTGTATTCTAAGAATCATGTGATGACCATTGTTTTATGAAATGTGTTGCAGCGCTGATTTAAAAATGTATTTGCTTGGATCTTGCTGCAGGTCCTCCAGGAACTGGAAAAACATCCCTGTGTAAAGCATTGGCCCAGAAATTGACCATTAGACTTTCAAGCAGGTAACTTTTCATGATTTGTGAAAGGAGAGCAGTGGGAACGGGACTTATAGACAATGAGTTCTCCTTCGGTGTCCGTCGGTTAGTTCCTCTGGGCTCAGCTGAGTCTTGAGTTGCGATTATAGCCCTTTGCACTCAGAGACATCTCACGGCTCACCTCCCAGCAACTTGACCGTGCTTTTTTCAGTCTGTTTTAGTGAAAAACAAATCATTTCATAGTAAATAGGACAGCGTTGGAACCAATTGTTTTCCTGTAATGATATCTGGCTTGTAATGGAATTTTGGACATTGAGGAACTTATATTTTTCTAGTGTGTGGTAACGTGTGCGACAGGCACCAACATGCCTTGCAGGTTCACTGATACATGTTGTGCAACAGGAATGTGTCTGAGTTCTTCCATCTGGTGTTTTTCTGTTTGAGCAGATGATGCAGTCTTGTTTTCTTCCTCTCCCATTAATAATCTGCAATTTCTTGTTCAGTCTGTTTGAAGACAATGTAGGAGGATGCACTCGTGACTCCTGGAAACCACTTCTCAGCTGATTGATGGACAAAATTCAAATGGGACTTAAGCTTTTTGTTGTTTTTGAATGGAAAACTTCAAGGAAACATACATTTTTGGAATTTCATGAGTTTGTCTGTATAATCACCTGAGTTTGCTAGACTTACCATGTCCCCTCAGAGGGGATATCCAGGTGCAGAGGGCTACAGCTTATTGAGAATGCTCTGTTGCTAACGTGGTGTATCCTGGCGAATCACGTTTACGAAGCATTGCTTTTTGCTCTTGGTTGGAGTGTTCGCAAGTGTCAGGGCAGGTACTGGACAGGATTGCTGACTTTCTGTCCGCCTGTTTGATTACCGAAAAGAATGCTGATGTTTCTAATTGTGGATTTGTTATTTCTCTTCGAGTTCTATCTGCTTGAGAACTTATGGTTTTTGTCACATTTACAAAATAATTGGTCTTTATTTCTTCAGCTAATTTCATTACTCTTCCTCTTTACCTGGAAATCCATTTATTCACACATTAGACTGCTTGATTTTGTTTCAAAGACCAGTGATGTACACTCTTGTTTTTTCAGGTGTTTTTTTTTCCCATCCCTTATCCCCTTAGGTTTTTAAAAATACCGTGTTTCATTTGAAAAAGTTCACTGATTTTCTACAGTGCCTAATCTGCTTTTAATTCTACTCAGTGAAATTTTTATTTTCATAATGTATTTTTCTTCTCTGAATATTTTGCTTTGTTCTTTTTACATTTTTCATTTCTCATTATGTTTTCGATTAAAACCTTGAACAAATTTTTAAAGCTGTCTTAATGTTCTTGCCTACTGATTCCACCATTGTCCTTTCTGAGTCTTTTTCTCCTGACTGGTTTTTCTTCTGGTTATGAGTCACATGTTTTTACTTCCTGAAATGTCAAGTAGTTTTTGATTAAATGTTAAACATTTAATCCCAGCACTTTGGGAGGTGGAGGTGAGAGGATTGCTTGATCTCAGGGGTTCGAGACCAGCCTGAGCAACACGAGACCTTATCTCTACAATAAATTTAAAAAATTAGCCAGGCATGGTAGCACACCTGAGCCAGAAGGATCACCTGAGCCAAGCAGGTTGAGGCTGAGGTGGTTGTGAGCGTGCCACTGCACTCCAGCTTGGGCAACAAAGTGAGACTCCGACTCAAAAAAAAAAGTGAAACATTGTGATCTGAAGTGTCTGGATTTTCTTGTCTTCCTTTAACTACAAGGTTTTGTTCTGGAAGACATTTCAGTTGCTTGTGATTTGGTGTGTTCCTTTGAGGTTTGTTTTTAAGCCCTTTAAGGAAGGGTTTTGGTTTAGTCTTGACACTAACCTGTGGTCCTTGGGGGTCCCCCTGGGGCCCTGAAGGATCAGTGAGTGACCTTATTGGTGGCCTCGTTGGAGGAGTGTGACCTCCTCCCAGCTCATGTGAGCTCCTGGCATCGTTCAGCTCACAGACCTCCAGTCGCTGTCTACCCAGCCTTGTGGAGTGTCCCCTGCTCACACATGCCTTAGTGTTCAGCCAGATATGAGGGGACCCACTGCTGATTCTGGGGTACTCCTTCTGGGGTCTTTCTTTGTGTCTCTGTCCCTTCCGGCCCTCTGGCCTCTGTCTCTTGCGCTCAGCCAGATGGCCATGCTCTACTTGGGTCCCACCCGGGCTCGAGGTTGGAAGGTGCCTCTGGGCACAAGTGGGGGATTTGGAGGGCCCTCATTTCCCTCCTCAGGGTCACAGTCTCTCACTGCCTGTGGTCCAACGTCCTTCCAGATGTTTTATTTTGTCCCATTTTCTCATTGTTTTGGGCAGATAGTAAATCTGGTACCTGAGGCTCTGATATGACGTCAAGAAATCCTATGAGGTTCAGATTTATTATGTACGATTTATTTCCAAAACTGTCTTTCAAGTATTTTACACAGGGACATTTCTTTATTTTGATTGTTTGTGTTGTGTTTAGCAACTTGACCTTCATTTTGACATATCCAAATGTGTGTGTGTTTTAAAGATCTCCAGGCTCAGTTTCCTAATACATTAGAGAGGGAAAAAGTTAACTTTTCCAACACAAAGATGTGGAAACATGTATAGAAATGGCAAAAGAAAGCCACAGCCTGCCTTTATTCCTTATCCTATAGAATCACCAAAACTTTTTTTGGTTGTTTTTTTTTTAAACTTATTTTAAAGATGTGGGGTACAAGTCAGGATTAGGCGTACAAGTGGTTGTTTTACAGGTAAAATTTGGGCCTCCCTTTGTTCCCCACTTTGCCTGGTTTGAGATCAGGTACCCTTATTGACGTTATGTTCCACCCCTGTCTCTACCCCCAGAGTGTCCCGCTACTGCCCATCCCTTTCTTGTTGTATTATGGTAAATGTTCAGTGTCCGCTTATGAGTGAGAGCATGTGGTACTCAGCTCTTTGTTTCTGTGATAGATCACTGAGTATAATAGGCTCTAAATCCATCCAAGTTGCTGCAAAGTTCATATGTTTGTGCTTCTTTGTGACTGCATAATCTTCCATTCCATGGTTGATTCCATGTTTTTGCTATTGTGAATAGTGCTGCAATAAACATGCAGATGCAGGTATATTTTTTGTAGAATGATTTGAGTTCCTCCAGGTGTATTCTCGGTAGGGGGGTTGTCTAGTTCTTTCAGAAATTGCAACTGTTTTCTGAAGAGATTGCACTAGTTTGCATTACCACCAGTACTGCAGAAGCATTCCCATTGCTCTGTGTCCTTGCCACCGTCTCTTGTTGTTTGTTTTATTAATGATGGCCATTCCTGGTGAGGATGCAGAGAAAAAGGAACGCTTCTACACTGCTGGTGGGAATGCAAACTAGTGCAATCTCTTTGGAAGACAGTGTGACGATTTCTGAAAGAACTAGAAATTGACCTTCTGTATAGCCCAGAAATCCCTCTATAGGGAATACCCTGGAGGAACTCAAATCATTCTACAAAAAAGATACCTGCACACTTATGTTTGTTGCAACTCTATTCACAATAGCAAAAACATGGAGCCAAACGTGCTGCCCATTGAAGCTTGACTGGATAAAAAAATGTGGTACATATACACAATGGAATATTATGCAGCCATAAAGAAGTACAAACGTGGACTTAACAGCAACTTGGATGGATTTAGAGTGGATCATACTCAGTGATCTATCACAGAAACAAAGAACAGAGTACCATATGTTCTCACTCAAGTGGACCTTGAACAAGTAGTGGGAAACTGCCATGGAAGAGGGGATGGGATTGGCAGCTGAGGGGGAAACTGCCTGGGGAGGGAGTTGGGATTGGCTTTTTAGGGAAACTGCTAGGGAAGGGAGGGGCATACCTCATCAACAAGGGTACCTGCATAATGAACATTTATATACCTAACCCTGGATTGTACCCCACATCTTTAAAATAATTTTTTAAAAAATGATGACCATTCTTACTGGGATTAGGTGGTATCTCAAGTGGTTTTGATTTGTATTTCTCTGATGATTAGTGAGACTGAGCACTTTTTCATGGGTCTGTTGGCTGCCCGTATATCTTCTTTTGAGAAGTGCCTATTCATGTCTTTTGTCCACTTTTTAATGAGACTGGTTTTTTTTTCTTTCGGCATGTTTGAGTTCCTTGTAGATCCTAGATGTTAGGCCTTTGTTAGATACACAGTTGGAAAATATTTTTTCCTATTCTCTGGGCTGTCTCCCCGCTTTCTTGGTGGTTTCTTTGGCTTTGCAGAAGCTTTTCCGTTTGATGAGGTTCCACTTGTCTATCTTATCTCTTATGGCATGGGCAGTTGGGGTTTTGGTCAAGAATTGGTTGCCAGCTCCAGTTTCCATAATGGTGTCTCCTGCATTTTCTAAGGTTCTTATAGTTTGAGGTTATATGTTTAGGTCTTTGATTCATTTAGAGTTGATTTTTGTGTATGGTGATAGCTAGTAGTCCTGTTTCAACCTTCTGCACGTGATCAGCCAGTTTTCCTAGCACCATTTACTGAATATGTTCTCCTCTCCCCAGTGGTTGTTGGTGGAGGCTTTATTGAAGTTGAGTTGGTTGAGAAATTGAGGTTTTTGCTTCTGGAATCTATCCTGTTCCATTGGTCTGTATGCCTGTTCTTGTACCAGTACCAGGCTGTTTTGATTATTGTAGCTTTATAGTTGAGTTTGAAGTCTGGAAGTGTGATACCTCCTGCTTTGTTTCTTTTGCTAAGGATTGTTTTGGCTATTTGTGGTTATTTATGTTTCCATATGAATTTTTGTATTGTCATTTCCAGGTATGAGAAGAATGATGTTAGTAATTTAATGGGTATTGCATTGAATCTGTAGATTCCCTTTGGTAGGATGGACATCTTAACAATGTTGATTCTCCCTGATTTCCTTTAGCAGTGTTTTGTAGTTTTCATCATAACAGTCTTTAACTTCTCTGGTTAGGAAGATGCCAAGGTATTTCACTTTTTTGTGGCTATTGTGAATGGGATTGTGCTTCTTATTTGGTTCTCTGCCTACTTGTTGTAGGTATATAAAAACATGCCTGTCTTTTGCACATTTATTTTGTATCCCAAGACTTTGCTGAAGTCCTTTATCAGTGAAAGCAGGTTTTAGACAGATCTCTGGGATTTTGGAGGTGTAGGATCATATTGTCAACAAAGAGGCATAACTTAACTCACCAAAATGTTTTATGATTAACTTTGTTTAAGATGTATCCTGGTCTTTATTTTGTTAGGTTGTCTGAATCCCTCCCCTTTTATAGACAGTATTAGTATATGGTCTTTTTCCCTTTTTAAAATGGAATGCCAGTGATATCTTTTGAAAGTAATTATTTTACTTCTGTAGACTTTGGACATGGAAGAGACTGAAAAGATGACCTGGAGTCAGTTTCTGTCTTGCCCCAGACCCGTTTCCTATTGATTTGGTCAAAAGCTCAGTGCATCCAGATCTCTCAGCTGCCTCTGAGCAGACCGCGGATGTTCCTTCTAGATTTCAGTCACTTAATGTGTGTTAAAGTTGACTTCTGGCCATCTGAGTGTTCCAGGGCTCTAGGGTCTGTGCTGGAAAACAAATTATCTGCTCTTTAGGGTTTTGTGGGAGGAGGAAAAGCTGTTCAGCTCTTGCCAAAAACTCTTGATGCTTTGAATTTTGTCTTGTTTGCTGTATTAGTACTGGCAGTCTTTTTTTTTTTTTTTTTTTT